AAGTGGAAATCGTAAGTATAAGTTACCCAAAGCTTTAATTTGCCGGTACAGAAGGTACCCTCAGATTCCATCATGAGAAAACTGTAGGAATAAGGTAACTGCAGGTCTAACATAAGGAAACTGTAGAAATGAGGTATGATGCAGAATTCACATGAGGAAACTGTAGAAATGATGTACCCGTAGAGCAAACATGAGGGAGCTGTAGAAATAAGGTACTCCTAGATTCTAACATGATCTGCACCCAGTCTAGCCAAAAAGGCTCATATATCAGGAAATTGTTTGCTCTACCTAACTTGTCTAGACACCCCTTAGCTGAGTGGTGGTCGGATCTCCTGACAAGTGGTTTAAGTTAATGGGTACATATAAGCTTGCTAATACAAACATTGTACAGTATACAGTTAACAGTGTACAAGCCCATCCCTACATAATAAAGAAGTGAAAAATTATGTGTTAAATAACTGACTACACTCAAATGAACAAAACAGCTTGTGAATACTATGGCTATATATTTTGCTGCCCTGTCTTACAAAATAATATGTACCTGAAAGCCAGAGTTATACTCTACCTCAAAACCGTGGAAACCACAAAGTCAGGACCCACATGGACAGAACTGTTTAATAAGGCAATGCATTTTGGGAATTGTTTTATCAAAGAAAATGTGTTTTGGGGGTCCAAAATCATTGGTAAACATTTGTGATCCCCATAAACTATCCACTGACATGCAACTCTGCTTTAAAAAATTCAACAGCATGATTCACGCCAATTCAGAAAGGCAGTCGGCAAAGTGCAGTCAACCACACAAGTAATCCTAATTCATCTATTTTTGTAGAGCAAAATTTGATTGGCTGAAATGGGTACCTGCATTTTGTACATCATAATTGTTCTCGCTCTTACTAAATAAGGCTTCTCCGTCAAAAATATTGCTGTATCACAACGTGTTTACCTCCGCTGTTATCAAGGTGCACAAATGTTAAATTTCCCCACCCATCTGCTTTGACCAAATAGTGCCATTAATGTTGTCTCCCACAGTACAGAACAAATAGTAGATAAACGGAACCTCCCCAAGCTCCCTAATAGGAAATCATACAAATTCTAATTGGTACATTCCATTATTTGAGAACAATGGCTTTTCTTATTAGTAGAAAAAGAAAACAATATCAAATAACTGACACTTCACATGTAAGCAGATTCCAGCTGCAGCTTAGTTAAAAAGGGACCAACATCAAATTACCCCGCTGGAGTTAAGCGCATAGGCAGCGCAGGTATGATCCCCCCCACACTTCCATCCCCAAAGAAGTTTGAAAAAAAAAAAAAGACATTTGCCAACATACCTAAACACTGAAATTGTCATGTAGAAAGAAGTTCTACAGAAAAGAACGAGTTCTACATACTGCACTGAGGTCTAATGTTTACAGATAAGACGTGATGAGTATATGGTTATTGCTTCGTATTTAAAGGTGCATTGAAAATATGACCATGTCTTTGAAGAGTTATATTTTAGGAAATTCAGGATCACAGTAGAGATCAATAATAGAAATGTGTAATAAAAATGTCACTTACTGCCTAAAAGAAACCATGCTATGATGGGTTTCCGTAGAATAATGGAAATCCTTTTCAAGTGGAAGTTCAGGCAAACCCTAACTAAGCCCAAAACTAAGATGTGTATGCTCACTTCTTCTGAAGCCACTCCAGTCCGGTCTCCAGTGTGAGAACAGTGACAATGGCTGGAAATGCCTGGGAGATGACGTCACCCATAGACTTATGCCAGCCATACATGGGTCAAAATTCAAAGAATAATCGGCCGATTTTCGCTCTGTTAGTGGGTCAATGGTACCGGCTGATTTTCGTGTTTTCCCCTTTTCGTTGATCGGGCATGTTGGAAAATTCGTGAAAAACGACCAATGTTCCACCAATGTTCGACTTAATGATGGTCAAATCGTATGATCGTTTTTGCGAAAGGAATATGCGCATGAGCCGTGACCTGGAAGGAACAGAAGTTTTGCCTGTTACATGGGGTGAACTTTATGACTTGGTCTGACGATTTTCGAAATCACTGATGGCACCATCGTATTACTGAGCGAACTACGTTTTTGATTTTAGGACAAAAAATCGTTCAGTATTCGACCCATGTATGGCCTGCATTACTATAGGGCATCCATTGTCGGCTGCCCCTCCTGTACATCAAAGCTGCCACTGACAGCTGATCATGGGACCAGTCCGGAGCGACTTCAGCTTAGGTAAGTATACAGATTATTTCTTTAGAGGTTTAGATAGTAGGTTTAGCCATAGTTAGGCTTTGCCTGAAATTCCACTTTAACATCTTGGCGCCGGCCAAATGCAAATGTGTGGCCTCCTGGCGTTTGGGCCTAGACGCTGAGCGGCCGCACATTTGCGTTCTATTTAAAAAAACGTGCTGAGAGCGCACGCCCTGCGTGCTCCCAGCACACATGTCCGGTACTCACGGAAAGGTCCCAATCTCCTCTTTCGATTGGGACCTTTCCCGATCATGTGACGGCGTGTCACGGCAGTCACCTGACCCTAAACCCCGCCCCACCTCCCAGCTTCTGAAACCCTTAAAGGGCCAGGAGGCACCGACGCCAATGGGTTAAAAAATAAGAACCTATGAAGAAAGAAGCACGAGCACATCCATCATCATGACTTATTTTTGTAGCCTTGTGCTCCATGGTTTCCCTATAAAGCAGTTCAGAGATTTGTTCACAAACTAGTAAATCATTAACCCAAAAAGAATCATTTGTACATCAAGTGTTAGGTGTCAGGTCTCACTATCCTTCTCCCATTTGGCAGTGCTAATGCCTCATGACTGGCACAGTGCTGTCACATGGAAGCAGGTAAGAGGACCATCACCCTGTGTAAGCTCCAGCAAGTCAGTTTGGAGCTTGCACTGGGCTATCTTTCCATGGCCCTAGTGGTGAACAGATCAGTGTGGGAGCGTATAAAGGAGAGTACGTGGTGCTTGGGTGGGGGGTGTTAATTGTTCCCTTTACCTTGTTCTTCAAGGGCCATGGAAAGGCTCAAATTAAAGTATGTACAAATATGTCAGTTTTTGTGATGTATCCATATACTGTATTTTAGTATCACAAAATACGTAGCTAGTTTTGTTAAAAGATCGTGAAAAATGATCCATGAACAAACAAATCCAGATATCTGAAAAGTTTGCTTTTACAATGGAATGGTTAACTTTATAATCTGCAATAAGGGAAATCCCAATATTGGTTTGATCGGCTGCTGTAGGCAACATTACCATTTTCATTACACATTGGATTTTATATATTTCATGAACTTGTCCCTTTAACTATGATTTTTTTTAGGGAATCAAGATAATATTTTTCTTAAAGAGTGTGCTGAAGTAAAAATTTTAAATGCACATCATTGATCTGGCAATACAAATGATCGAATTGTTTTGATACGTGCTATCTGATATAATCAATGAAATTTAAAACCGGATTCTCCAATACAGGTTGGAAAATAACAGTTAGAATCTGACTGATTATTAGGAGAAAACACTTAAAATTTTTTTTTACATTGTTTAAGCTTGTATGTCTAACCCTGGGTGCTGGTGGATATCCTGAATTTCATATTGGTAAAGAAATCCCGTACAGAGGAAAACATGGGGACGTCCACTACCAACCTCTTTTTGAAAGTGCCAGATGACTAGCTGCCTTTAGCCTTGGTATTTTTGGACGCAAAGACTTGAAGTGATGGTGCAGCAAGCAAAGTTACAACTCCTGATTGGCATACATAGTGGTTGATATACTAAAACTGGAGAGTGCAAAATCTGGTGCAGCTTGGTATAGAGACCAATCAGCTGCCAGTTTTTGTTTTGTCAAAGCTTAATTGAACAGGCTGAAGTTAGAAGCTGATTGGCTGCCATGCACAGCTGTGCCAGATTTAGTAAATCAACCCCATAGTTTTGGTTCTGAGACTAGAAATGATTGGGTCAGCATAACCAGCCAACAAACCTTTATAAAAGAAGAGGTCAGCAGCCCACATATTCTCTCAGCACAGGATTTCCTTCAAGAAGAGCTACAATTTTTCTTATCCAATTAGTGCCCATCACAATGCACCTTTAATACAAGCTGCTGCAATGCAATTTATTAATAAGACAAACAGTGGGATTAGGTCACTGTAAAAAATGAAATGCTGATTTTGTACAATATAGCTCAAGGAATGGCACATAAAGAAAAAAAAAATGAGCATTTACAATATAACCCACTGGTTTTGCAATGCAAAAAGACAGATGCCTGAACATGTAAATAAAGCTTAGGGATCTAGCAGCAAAGACAAAACTAATTTGCATATTATGTAGTGCAATGGGTATTTAACACATGTCTCTTACCAAATATCACCCCTCCCCCAATGAATATGGTTGGACGATACAGATTTGGGCACACTGAACTGGGGTCTAATCATGGCCTGCTACAACATAGCAGGGATATGCTAGAATCTCTTAGTAATTAACAGCAACAGCATAATGGGGGAGATTTGCTAAAACTGGTGCACACAGAATCTGGTGCAGCTGTGCACAATAATCAGCTTCCAGGTTTTATTATCAAAGCCTAATTGAACAAGCTGATGTTAAAAGCTGATTGATTACTACGCACAGTTGCACCAGATTATGCGTGCACCAGTTTTAGTAAATCTCCCCCAGTGTGTCCAAATCTGAGCATTATAAAGAAAGTCCAATCCTGGCAGAACGGTCTGCAAAGCTGCAGCTCCATGTCACTAAGTCACATCCTACACCTTTGATCATCTAGGTGCTCATAACCAAAGAATACACACTGCAGTAGTTTGCAACACATTCCCGAGGTGCAGCAGTGCAGACTGGGCTTCTGAAGGTCAAGGGCGGACATTCCCATAAAGCAGTTCAGTGGCTGAAAGGTCCTATTCTGTGTGAAATCAGCCACAGAGTTGTTAAGACTGCTAATACCCAGAATCATTCGCCATAAATAACACACTATAATATTCTATTATCAACAGGTCTATGCAAAGGTGTGCTCTGGATAGCTAACTTTTATGGCTCCCCAGTAACAGGCCCGAATAAGACAAACTAAGCCTAAAAGATAGGCAACCGCCCAGGAGACATATGTTGCACGGAAATGCCTGGCAAAATCTTGTGTGCCAACCTGGGAAAGAAGCAGAGAAGAAAGTCATTAACTGCAGTAGTATTTTCATGCATTTTAACTGTTAATTTGTGCATTATATCTGTTAAAACAAAAAAGATCTTGACACTAAAGCTTGGTCATACACAGACAGAAATTCTGCCAGATCAGCATGAACTAGCTGAATTTCCATCAGTTTGTGGCTGTCCATGCTTGACAAAAGTTGATCATTTGACTTTTGTACATGGTGGAGAACTTTTCTCGATCAGCAACTGCAGCCAATCGTTTGCAGCCACTGATCAGTGTATTCTGGACAGCAGTGGGAGCCACTGTCAGAATACAATGTCCTGGTGGCAGGGTGATGGGTTCATACAGCCACCCTTGCTGAGTGGACAAAAAAAAAAAAAAAAAAGCGAAAAGTGCATGGACAGCTTAACCGCTTCCATACAGGGCACTTTTACCCCCTTCCTGCCCAGGCCATTTTTCAGGTTTCAGCGCTCTCACAATTTGAATTGCAATTGCGCGGTCATACAACACTGTACCCAAACTAAAAATTTATAATTTTCTTCACACAACTAGAGCTTTCTTTTGGTGGTATTTAATTAACACTGGGCTTTTTATTTTTTGCTAAATTAACAAAAAAGACCACAAATTGTGAAAAAAAAAAAAACCACATTTTTCTTTGTTTCTGTTATAAAAGTTTGCAAATAATTGTTCTTCATAAATTTAGGCCAAGATGTGTTCTGCTACATGTCTGAAAATAACCCAAATTAGTATTTATTATTTAATCAGTAGGAAAGTTTTAGAGTTCACAAACTATAGGATATATCTGAAAATTGATCAATCCTGAAGTAGTGACGGCCAATCTAATTTCTTGAGGTCCAAGAATGTCAGAACGGTACAGATATCCCCCAAATGACCCCCTTTTTGCAAAGTAGACAGTCCGACGTACTTCATAAGAGGCATGGCGAGTTTTTTGAAGTTGTAATTATTTTGTAATAATTTTTCGGAAAATTAAAAAAAAATGTCATTATTTATTTTTTTACATACTGTCACCAGTGCAGTACAGCGTCATCATATAACTGGCATGGCAGTGATCAGGGACACTGACTGGTGACAGTATGAAAAAAAATATATAATTTTTTTTAATTTTTGTATTAGTTTTAATTTTTTTCCTCTTTTTTTAAGATTTTTTTTTTTCATATTTCACTATGACCAAAGTGGTATAATGTTACCATAGTAACATTGTACTACTTTGGGGAAGTGATCAATATTTTTTTTTTTTTCACAATTTGCTTATAGCAAAGAATTACTTTGCTATAAGCAAGCATTTACCTGAATGACATTGATTTATTCAGGGTTTTTTTTTTTGTGCTTAGCTATGATTTGGCCACTGCTAATCACATGACACAGCTGGGCTGTGATTAGCCCAGCTTGTGCATGTGATCGCTGTAACCATTCACAGCTAGTATACAATGGATGGCATGAAAGGAAGCAATCCATTGTATACAACTGTCATGTGACCTGCTGTGATTGGTCACAGCAGGTCACATGGTACTGGAAACGGGCCCGATACACAGATCTGTCATCGGCCGTGTCCGAGGTACACGGCCGGTGACAGATCGCGCCGCACAGAACAGCCCTGCAGGCAGGCTAACTGCGCATGCCTAAAAGGACGCCATATGGCGTCCACCCGGAGGGACGAGCTGCTCGCCTGGCTGCATTTGTGCTACTGGCCGGGCGGGAACATGTTAACGAATTGAAATAAATCTGCCTGCAGATAAGTGCAGAACATAGGCATAATAAGGCTTTTCTTCCTGGAGCCCCTAGAGTTTTTATACAAATACCAAGCAATACCATGCCTTCAAGATGACCTGGCAATACCATATTCCATAACTTTCTATCCCTATGACACCCCTTTAAGCAGGGCAAAACACACCAATAAAATTGTGAGCTGTAATTATTATGTTGGCCACACCCATATTACTATGATCAATTAATCATTTGCTGCAACTTAATTGATAAATTTAATTTAAATTTACAAAAAACAGAGATCCTGTGCCCCATGTTAATTAATTTAAAGAGTTCTTGATGAATTTACTGTTTTCACAGTCCATGGCCACATTTTATTGCTTCTGATAGCTGGACCTGTGTTTGTGCCGGAAAACAATGGAGCTGTATTAGGGCTCGTTCACACTTGACTGTTTTTCCAACTCTTGCCAAACGCCCCTATAGCATTTGACAAGCGTTGGTCCGGTGTTTGCACACAGTGTGGCTTGGGCCCGTTTCCTGCTCCCTCATCACTGGATTAGACTGACAGCAGCAGGAACCAATGGCTCTCACTGCTCTACTCAGTCCAGTGAGGACAGAGAGACAGGCAATGTTGCTACTCTTGGGCACAGTGCTGGATCAAGATTGGGCTCAGGAAAGTATTTGGGGGGTGATGGGTGGTAGTTGACAATAGAAATTTTTTTTTACCTTGATGCAGAGAATGCAATAAGGTCTAAAAAAAAAAGCTTCAGCCTTTACGACCACTTTAAACCTTAACAGCTATGTAATCAAACTCAATTTCTTATACAAAAATAATCAATGCTAAAACTATCAATTCTTGTAGTTTTGAAAGCATGTTATTCAAAAACGGTTATCAAATAAATTCCAAAATTATTTAGTTGATAAATTATCATGTAAACACAGTGGACAGACTTCCTTGCAGTAAATTGTAATGGCACTCTTTCAAGTAACAGTCCTTCTCATGAATTAAAAATTTACAAGAAAGAAGCCTTTGAGAGAAGGAAAACAAACAGTAAATGACTCACTTACCGTTAGTCCAACACCAATAAAAATGCAGATCATTCCCATTGTAATATAGGCACAACAGCGTCGGCGGGGAAGGGCACTTCCTACAGATGATCTGTGAGCACAAGTAGAAAAGAAAATTATTTTTTCATAACGCATCCCATAAACCTCTCTCAGATGCTCAGAGCTGTAATTTTTTTGTCACCATGTTGTCAAAAAAAATTAAGATTTTTTTTACCGAAAGATGTCAATTTAATAAGATATTTTTCACATACAGCATAGGTATACTTACAATTACACCCCAAAACATATTCTGATACTCCTGCCAGATATGGGGATACCACATGTGTGAGACTTCTTCACAGTGTAGAGGGACCAAAAATCCTTTCAAGGAGCATAAATTACACATCTAATTTCCCGAATGCTTAGTGTATTTCTCCTGTCCTGGTGCTTCAGGGGCTCAAGAAACACCGCAGAAAAAGGTTTTTTATTTTTGAAAATGCAAGACAAACTAAAAAGGTTTTTTTTTTTTTTTTACAAAATTTGTGAATTAATAAGATATTTTTAAACACAGAGCATGAGCATACTTAATATTACACCCCAAAACACATTCTACTACTCTTACCAATGATGGTGATACCAATTTTTTTTTTTTTTTTTTTGAACAAACTAGTCACATAGAGCATCTTTAGGCGTTCAAGGGGCATAAATTACACATCTAATTTCCTGACTGCCTATCACTTTTTTGGGGGGCCCTGAAGCACCAGGACAGTGTAAACATGCACAAAATAACCATATTTTGGAAAGAAAGAGCACCCCAAGGTTTTTTCTAAGAGGCATGGCAAGTCTTTTGAGACTTTTTTTGCCACAGGTTTTTGGAAAATGTGAAAAATGAAAATTACTTATTTATTCTTACACAAAGTTGTCAATAATAATAAAATATTTTTCACACACATCATGGGCATACTTAGAATTTCACCCCCATAACACATATTCCTCCCAAGTATGTGATACCACGTGTGAGATTTTTTTCAGTGTTAGGACTGATTGTGTACCAGACATTGTATCTTGTGTATCACACAAATCAACTAGTTGTATCAAAAACAGTGTACTGCAATGGTTGGCTCTGTACAAGTGGTCAGGGAGTATACCTTAGTGTAGCATCACCTATAGCAGTCCCTATCAGGGTCGGACTGACAACTCATGGGGCCCCTGGGCAATAGGGGATCACGGGGCCCCTATGTTCTTGCCAAAATCAAAAAAGCCTATGAAAAAAAAAAAAGGTACCAGGGGCATCTCATGGGGCCCCCTACTGACCCCAGGCCCTCGGGCAGTGCCCGAGTTTCCAAATGGTCAGTCTGCCCCTGGTCCCCATTCCTTCAAGCCTAGCCTACTAAAATGCCACGTTCACTGGCCACAGTTAATTTTTTTTAATATTGTTTTCTTTTACTCACTTTCATTGTTCTATGCAGTTCGGGCACATGAATGCATAAATCACAAGAATTCAGTGTGCTTCCATGCCTGGGAGTCACAGGCAATGCCTTACAGCTGTGGCCAGGTAATTAAATGACAGGCTGTTAGGTGCCGTGGCGAACAGTTCATGTCAAGGACTGCTCATCCTTCCTTGTATGCCTGTAACCACTTAGACATGCAGTTACAGGCATACAGCTGCAGCATCTGACAGCTTGTCACTAACCTGTACAGGCTGCTAGTCGCAGATGTACACCAACATCTGTGACTTCCATGTACAAAAATATGAGTTTTTGCACCCAAGTGCATGAGCCGTTACAGTGGCAGTAGTTATAGTAGATGCCATCCCAAACTGAAAGATATATAATGTGCTAAAGCATTGTGTATCATACACAATTATTTTTTTTTTCACTACTTTTCAATTTTTCTCCTGCAGTAACTTCCTGTCTACAAGCATGCATTCCAACAACTGCTTCATGTCATATCTTAAGGAGGGGCTTTGTGAAGATGACAACAGTGAACCATACCTTAACAGGTATTTATTTTATGAAAACCTCAGTTTTTAAACATAATGAATATTATATTTTAAATTCAATCAACATTCCAAGAAAAAGAATAGAAAATATGTGGGACCTTAAAAAGGTGTTCTAGTTCCCTCAGGAGAATATACTCACAATGCACATAGTTAGTCTGGCTGAAAAAAAAGACAAAAGTCCATCCAGTTCAACCATGAAAAAAAAAAAAAAGTTATCCTATACCCACTGTTGATCCAGAGGAAGACAAGAAAAAAACAGCACAGCATGATCCAACTTGCTCCTGCTGGGAAAAAACGTCCTTCCTGATCCCGAGAGGCAATCGGATATTCCCTGGATGGAACCACACACAAAAAGACTAGGGGGTGGCGCGACATGGAGGGAAGAAAACCACTTCAAACAGAGAATAATGACCTCAATCTGATGTCAAAATCATTGAGGTGGACAGTCTTCTGGTAATTTGCATAGCAACCCTCTAATAAATGGCAAGATCTTAAAAACTGAAATGGCTGGTTGAATACTTTAAACAGGTTTATATATGTGTAAAGATGTGTGGGATCAGTCCCTAGATGGTGCAAATGGGAATCCTACTGCAGACCGAGGAACATGTTTCAATCTGTCATGACTCCAGCTCACTTAAAGGCAATGATTCAAATTAAAAAAAAAATATATATATATATATATATATATATATATATATATACATACATATACATACACACATATACAAACACGCATATACATACAGTGCTCAGCATGAATGAGCACACCCCAACAGGTTTGTCAGAAAACCTTTCCTTTCCAAATCAACATTTTCTATGGGACACTATACTACAAAATACTCCCACAACTGCGGCCCACTGATTGCAAACAAGATGTTAATTTGCACACTATTTTTCCTAACGAATTCATTCACGACTCTGTTGCAAAAATGAATACACCCCAATGAAAGTCTTAAGAACAAAGCTAAATTTTAAACAAGTCCTAATTAACAAGAATTCAGCTACAGGTGATTCTCAACAGGTGTGCAACAGACAGTTAATTATAAAAGGGCGTTACTTAAAGAAAACCGCTTCCCATTTCATGCTGTCAGCAATGGCACCACATGGAAGAAAAAATGTCACAAGGCAGGAGAATGAAAATAATTGCTTTGCACAAGAAAGGTAAAGGCTATAAGAAGATCAACACATTTTTACTTATCAGTCAGAATACGGTAGCAAAAGTGATACAAAAATTTAACAAGGATGGAACTTCAACAATCTCACAGAGATGTCCAGGCCATCCACAAAAGTTAACACCTCGACAGGAGTGTCTTCTGATGAGAAGGGTTGAAGAAAATTGCCATGCAAGTTCACTGCAGTTAGCTAAAGATGCAGAAAGCGAAACTGGGGTGATTGTTTCTCATGACTCAATACAACGTACACTGCTGGGGAATGGCATGCATGCATGCATATCATCCCCAAAAGAAGTCTTTCCTAAAGCCCACACACAAAGTCTGTCTAGAATTTGTCAGGGCCCATGCTGAAAAAGAAGAAGACTACTGGGACTCTGTACTCTGGAGTGATGAGTCAATGATAAATGTTTTTGGAACTGATGGCTCAAAACTTTATGGTTTCGCAAAAGTGAGGCGTAGAAAGAAAAATGCATGGTTCCTACAGTGGAACATGGTGCTGGCAGTGTCCTTCTGTGGGGCTGCATGAGTGCTGTTGGTGTCAGGGAATTCCATTTCTTTGATGGTATCATGAATTCACAGATGTACTGCTCTATATTGAAAGAGAAGATGCTACCATTACACCATGCCCTTGGTCGTCGTGCACTTTTTCAATATGACAATGATCCAAAACACACATCTAAGGCCACTGCTGCATTTCTGGAGAAGAACAGGGTGAAAGTGATTCAGTGGCCAAGTATGTCTCCTGATCTTAACCCAATCAATTTTGAAGAGACAATTTGAAAATCACTCTCCATTCAGCATCCAGGCTCTACAAGAGGTCATTCTTGAAGAATGGAAAAAAGATAGATGTTGTAATATGTCGCCAACTAGTTCATTCCATGTCTAGAAGACTTGGTGCTTTCCTTACAAATCATGGAGATGAAACAAAATACTAGATGTAGTAGATTTTGTCATGGGGTGTATTCATCTTTGCATCAACTAAGATCGGCATCCCAGTCTTAGTCCGTAGTGTTCAATATGGAGTTGGCCCACCCTTTGCTAGTTTAACAGCTTCAGCTCATCTGGGAAGGCTGTCTATAAGGTTTACGAGTGTGTCTATGAGAATGTTTGACCATTCTTCCAGAAGCACATTTGTGAGGTCAGGCACTGATGTCGGACGAGAAGGCCTGGCTTGCTGTATCAGCTCTAATTAATCCCAAAGGTGAAGTCAGGACTCTGTGCATGCCCATCAAGTTCCTCCACCCCAAACTCGCTCTTCCATGTCATGATGGACCTTGCTTTGTGCACTGGTGTGCATTCATGTTGGAACAGGGCCATCCCCAAACTGTTCCCACAAAGTTGGGAGCATGAAAATGGCCACAATGTCTTGGTATGCTGACTCCTTAAGAGTTCCCTTCACTGGAACTAAGGGGCCAAGCCCAACCCCTGATAAACAACCCCACACACCATAATTCCCCCTCCACCAAACTTTACACTTGGCACAATGCAGTCAGGTGAGAGCTGTTCTCCTGGCAACCACCAAACCCAGACACAACCTTTGGATTGCCAGACAGAGGCGTGATTCATCACACGTCCACTCTTGACCTGGCTGGTTGCTACTACTGGAAAGTCCCTTTTAGGGACCAAGACGAGACTACCTTTATGACCTTTATCCTTGGGACTATTCAAATTTAATTGTATGCTTTTCGGCCTATGCAACACCCAGAGCAACTTCCAATGTAAACTTAGGGTAAATGCTGTTATGTGATCTCCACCTTAAACTGTCTCCTTGCTATGCACTGACTTTCTGCCAAACTCAGGATAATTAGTGTTATATCTTTCTGTCGGTTTGTGGTGATTATCACCTCCTTTTTCCTTCTGTGATCAGAGAATCAATCATCTTTTATGACTTTGGCCTGTGTCTGGTCTGGTTTTGACCAACCTCCCCCCAAATTCATG